GTTTTGATGCCAAAATAAAAATGAAAAGAAACAAAAATAACTGTGTCTATTCTGTTTACACGGTCTGCATAAAATATACATGCTTATTACTCTTCTCTAGAATTAAAAATGACAAATGTTTTACTTTACCCTGAACACTGTTCACCAATAGAACAAGTCTGTAAAGTGTCACTCACCCACCAGCTTCACCTACTTCATGGCCGGTGGTTAGAGAGCTCGATTCGCAATCTGAAAGTCGCGGATTCGAATCCCCGTCCTACCAAACATGCTCGCCCCTTTCAGCCGTGGGGGCGTTATAATGTGACGGTTAATCCCACTATTCGTTGGTAATAGAGTAGCCCAAGTGTTGGCGTTGGGTGGTGATGACTAGCTGCTTTCCCTCTAGTCTTTCACTGCTAAATTAGGGACGGCTAGTGCAGATAGCCCTCGTGTAGTTTTGCGCGAAATTCACAACTTTAACTACTTTCGATTCTAAAGCCATGTGAAGTTTCAGAAAATTTAAAAATTTTCAGTACCACAAAATTTGTCCAGAAAATGTAGAAACAAATATAATTGGCGCAAGTATTCCTTTTTCTTAGTAGTATGAATGTGAAGAGGAAAATTCAGTGAGCACACTTTTGCAAAGTTTGATTGTCAAAAATCTAAAACCTACCTTCAAATGGCTTTCAAAATAACCTGCAGTTGGCCATTATACGCCGCTAAGAGAAGCAACTCTACAAAAAAAAAAGTAATAAGCATTCTAAGAACAGTAGCGAACCCTGGACTGCGCGTTTGCAACGCGAGAACCTAGCAATTACGTTCTGCGGATTATAAAGACTTGTGAGCGAAAGTACAAAAAAATGCATAATAAAATATCAACCATACTATATTTGCAATATTCAATGCCTTTCACCAAATACCAACGGTCAGACCGGTTGGGATACGGCTGACATAACGAAATGAAGAAGAAAAGAGCAGCAATTTTGGGGTGAATAATTCCCCTCCAAGGATATTCAGGGACAGGAGTCCCTCTTCATCCACCAAGGAAATTATAGAAAAACTTGGGTTATGGAGTTTGAAATACATTAGGAAGGAGGACTAATGAGAACTATAGGTAAGGTTCTAAAAGTGAAGAAAGAGAATAAGATGACGAGAAAGAGTACGTAACCACTCGAATAAAGAACGATTGTAACTCTTGGCAGAAGGCCCCCCCTTTTTTTTTTCAAAGTCTCAAAGCGGCTTTGGAACTTCCGTTGGTTTGATGCTGCTTGATATGTCTCTTCTTTAATGTGGCTGATTTATTGTGTAATTTTGATGACTGATGGTAACTCACTTTCAAGGCATTGAGTAGTACCTAACTTTGGCAATATTCCTGTCTGCAATAGTCACATAGAGCTATAGACGCCCCTGGCGGATACTGCTTCGGTATGTTAGTAGCTGAGACACTATTTATATTATAAAATTGCACGAACAACAACTGTTATAGTGTGAACTAGATTAAGTTTGAGTAGTGTAATTTTATCAATTTCATTTAAGTTATTTATAAATCAGAATTAGGGTAATCATTAATAAAATATCATTTACTTATTTGAACGCCAATTATTTATCATTATTGTTTATTTTTGCTTTTCATTAACTTTACTCATCAATCAGAAGAACTGGCGAACCAGCAAACAAGTCTTATTTTCCTTACTTCACCTCTCACAAATGTTAATATATATATACTAATCCTAGTGCTAGCGGAATGAATTCAACCTACATCTACTTAGATGAGGCAAGTTACCTGCTTTTTTTAATTGCCAATAGATATTCATTCTTGAAAAGCGTGTCACATCAATGGTGAATGAGAAAGAGCATCGATTAAGAAAAATAAACAATACCATTCTCCCCTTCACAAAGTTCACTCTAATCCTTCGGCCCCTGTCTCATTCGAATTTGGCACATCACTGCTTTTCCCCAGTAGCAAATCGGCATGCTAAAAACCGGGTTTCGATACCCGTCGTGGGCAAAGCACAGATAGCTCATTGTGTAGCTTTGTACTTACAAACAACCAAAGCTGAACCACATCACTGTCCTTTTTTGCACATTACCATAAAGTATGAACAGAAACACTCAAAATTGTTCTTTTGTACACATTAAATAAACTAACCTTGAGTACCATACATACAAGGCCTAATTTGTTGCTCTATGATACAATCTAGAGCCCCAAAACTGAGCTAAGTAACTTGCACAATGCACCATTAGACTGAAATCTGTCCAGGCTTTGTAAGCTACAAAAGAAAATTTTGTAACTAATTACCAAATTCATAGACACAGCCTGTAACGATTATTAAAGTACTCAACGTTCTTTGGTTTTAGGGTATGATTTATGCCAGTGCCTTTTCCACTAACATGTTGCTGTTGATGGAATTACATTTTAACTGTTTCGAAGACAACTTGGTAAAGCAAACAGTAAATTTGTTGTTACTCGCTCTCTTCGGGTATCTAACCCAAATTTTATCCTTCGAGCTTACTGGTGAGCCACCCAGGGGAGAATTAGAGAGAGAGAGAGACACACACACACACATATATAGCGAAGTAATATAAAACCTAAAAATGTTTAACATGTAAATAAACGCGGATATTTCATGGCATCTTAAGGTTTTGTTTGTAAAATGTAACGGACGTAACATAAAAGAAGTATTTAAGATACCTTTTAATGATATTGTTTATACTTGTCACAGAACAGCTTGATTTAGGGATATTTTATTGGTCTCAGTATTATAATAGTTAATAAATTACCTAAAATAAATATAATAAACTCACTACCTCCATAACATTATTTTTCATTATAACCTGATATTTCGCCTCGAAGCGTTTTCAAGTTTTATCCTATAAAAATTGTAATAGCACTTTTTGTATGTTCACAGGATGAGTAGCAAGAATTTTTTGTTTCGGATATTCAAACAAAGCTACGCAAAACTATCAGTACTAATCGTCCATAATTTTAAACTGACAAACGAAATCAAAGACAGCCAATCAACAGCAACCACTGCCAACTCTAATTAAATAGTAGGATTTTACCATTACTCTTACAATGCACTCAATACACCAAAAAGTGATTGTTTCATAAATAAGAAGTGAACCACGAATCCCAAGATCCACATTCCAACCCGCTAACTACAAGGCCCATTTAACAAAAAGTAATTACTTCGTTATTACGAAATATAGGTGTAATGATGCGTTGGTTAAACTGGTAAACAGTTGCGTATAATAAACACATTAAAAGTACAAATATAATCCATTGCTCGTTGGAGACTTGCGTTCCTCAGTGTTCTGACTGTTTTACTTAAATACTATTTCCATTTGGTTTTGAGTTAGTGTGACGACTGTTATAGTACAGTTGAAAGCTAGTATCAAAATATGAACGTGGATTAAACCTATTTATTGTAATCAAGTATGTCAAACTTTTACTTACAGAGGCTGAAGCTGAGGAATTAAAAAATTATTAAGGCTTATCTTTGGTAGTAAAGAAGTAACAGTACATACTCATTTATCAATATGATTTTCCCATACATTGCGCGTTGAAAACAAGTGATGTTTTTTAAACAATATTATACACTACTTCGGTGTGTATATTCTTCCTTTACTCTTACTTAGTGGTATATATATATATATATATGTGTGTTTATTACTCTTGTTAATTATAGTCTCTCTCTATATACATTATTAATGTGTATATATATATATATATATATATATATACACGTGTTCCTGTTTTCTGAGGGGTCAATTTTCTGTATTTAAGAATTAAGCTTTCTGGATTGAACCAGTTTCTGTGATCGTGTATTCTTATGTTTATCCAAGACATGCTCTGCAATAATCTGTATTCTAAACACGCATTGTGCTCGACGAGTACAGCTTGTTCACAGGATAAAAATCAACAAAACGACCATCGTTAGCGAGGAAGCTATAACTGATTGAGGTACATAACAACACCGAAGTTCGTGTTAAACACCTCCTACACAAGGCATATTGATGTGGATAATAATAATAATAACAAAGAGAGACATTTCGGTAAAGTTTTGGTTGTTTTGATTAGACAAAAAGAAGACGTTTGACACTATTTCCGAGATCTAGGTCGCTGAACCAGACCCATGACCATGAGAACAAATATGGAGAAGTTAACTTGTAAATGTAAAACAATGTAACATGCTTGAAATGTTCTAGATGTGGTTGTGAACGTGGTGGTTTAAGTGTAGCGATTAAACTAAACTGTGGGTCTAGGTTGGATGAAGGAAGAACTTATTTGAATACATCCCAATCGATTTAACAAACCAGCTGAATCGGAGATTCGTCAGTTGATTACTGCAGTGATAGCGAAAGACAAAACGGGCAGTAGTATCGTTGTCTTCAAAACGAGGAATTGGAATCATACATAAGAAACCATTAGTTTCAGTATTTTGTAAAACTAACGGCACAGTAAAGCCCAAAATGCAGTGTTGAAGTTAAATGAGAAGCATGATGCATTACAAGATGATTTCCCAAGCGATTCTCAAATTAAAAATGCCATTTCTGCAATAAAGATTATGTTTAAGAAAGATGATATGATGCCCAGTATGGTACCACCATAGTTATAACCCATATATAGCACAGATAGCCCATTGTGATTAACTACAAACAAACCCTTGACCAGGGTTTGAAACTGCGACCGCTCCATTCTACTGAACTAAAATGTGTTGCAAGTAATTGCTAGTAAGATAAATGTTATATTTTCATTGATATTTAGGTGTTTTTTTTTTTAGAAGTATTGCCGAGCTTTATTCATCGAGATCTATCGAAATAACCCTAAATCACCGGTTTCCGGAATGGTCCCCTGTTGACTACCCTAGGTTCAGAACTAAAAGATATTGGGCTGGTTCGTATGGCTTGGTTTGAATTTCATACAAAGCTACACGAGGGCTATCTGCGCTAGCCGTCCCTAATTTAGCAGTGTAAGACTAGAGGGAAGGCAGCTAGTCAGTACCACCACCGTCAACTCTTGGGCTACTCTTTTACCAACGAATAGTGGGATTGACCGTAAAATAATAACGCCTCCGCGGCAGATTGCGAGTCGAGTGCCCTAACCACCTGGCCAGGTTCGTATGGCAGTTGCTGAAAAAGTTAACAAAGATCTAAGCATACCTACGACGAGAATAAAAGGTTAATGAAATTAAAATATAAAAATATTCAAAATGGAATACGTGAGAACATTAAACATCAGATTGCGAAGGATAATTATCTGTTTAGACGACTATGTACGAAAAAGTTAACACTATTTGACAGACTTTATTTAAAATGGGCTATCTGTGCTGCGCCAACACGTGTATCGAAACCCGGTCTTTAGATTTATAAGCCTTCAGACTCACTGCTGGGCCACTATGAGGTGGAAAATATGAGAGGAGAGGAAAGACAAATCTGCTAAATGCTTGTATTACATTTTCCTTTGACCACATATTTAAATTTCAACTATTAAATATTATAAAAGTTTATAGACTTATGTTTAAATCACCATTTAACTAACACCAGATTAAAAACCACTTTAAACCTACAGGCACGAGACGCATGGCGCCAAAATTTTCTCGTACAGTGGGCAGCGTTGTAGGTTGCCGATAACAAGTCTAAAAATTATATATATAAGGATAACGAGCTAGATTATTGCGCATGGGGACTTGAACCAAACAGCTTTAGCTGAATTTATGCTTACGTCGAAACTACGCAAATCCACAACAGCTATATCATGTATTGTTAGTTTTTCTCACAATAAATTACTCAAGAAAACATTAAAAAATGTATGCAGCTATATCTTGTGTAGCAGTTTTGCGGCTTCGCCCCTAATCAGTGTATAATATAATATCTAGCTGAGTGAGAAACAACAATAAAATATGTTACAAGTCCATTAATAAGTGTAAGCCCTAATATTTACGTTCATAACAGGAGCTTTAAATCTGACCAATCTGTATTATATATACACGATTAAAACGACTTATGTTTGTTTATATTTGAAACAAAAAGATGATTATTTGATTAATAATACGATTGACACTGAAGAAAATAATAAAGCCATGTCTTTCAGTTACAGAAACGTTTCCACTAACTGTGCGTTTCTTTTAGACATTTCTCTTTTATTACCTTACGTCATGTTACACCTGTACAGATATAATTCCCTGTAGAAGTTGGGTTGGTGACAGGTACATGCTTATAGTAAGTGTTTATAGAGATAGCTTTTATTACTAGTACATGTTCAACCAATGATTAGATGTTGTTAACAGTAAATATTCAAGCGATTAGTGGTTTTTACCAGTATACGATTTCAAGAGAAGAGGCACTGAAATGCGGATCTCGAGTTATCTTAACAACGTGTTGTTCTCTCCATGATTTTGGACAATAAGGCTTTTGTGTTAGTTCTTAAGCAGGTGTGTTAATAAAAACTATATTCGAAATCTTTAAGGCATGTATGAGAAATAAAAGCAGTTACTCTATACACGAAATTATGAATAGTTTAGTATATTAAATAAAAAAATAACCAGAACGTGCTTCTCGAAAACGATCAGTGACGTAACTAGAAGAAAATACTGAACTAATTTACGATTACAGAAAAAGTTGCTTTTCGACGTAACTAGAAGGAAACACTGAACCAGCTTCAGATTACACAAAAAGTTGCTTCTGGAATTGCAGTTCAATCTTTAACGTATCACAAGCTTCTTCCAGACAATGAAATTTACAGCACAATTGGTGCATTCGAATTTATTTTTATTTTGAGATACTGAAGAGAAAGAATTTCTGGTATATTCTTAAAATGTTTACGACTGGATAATATTAATAACAAGATATAAAAGGCTGATGAGTAATTATCATAAAAAGAAGAACCGAATAACGCTTTTCCGTAGAAAAATGATGTTTTTGTTTTGCTTCACCATTCTAGAAATAACTTGGAAAGAAACCAACCGAAGTTAATTGATCGAACTGGAACCAAAAGTAGGTGAACTATTTCCTCGTGTTCTCTGCGTGAGCTCGTACTGCCTTACAGGCAAGATTATTCCTCGAAGAGCTACCATAAATAGTTGTAGATAGATCTAAAAAAGTAGATTGATAATAAAAAATGTTTTTATGCATCTGTATGTTCCACTCAGTTAAACAACAAAACAAAATATAAATATTCCACTTGTTCACTTAAAGAAGATTATATAGTAAATATGTATAGCTTATTTTTTGCCATTCTTATACTTGTAGCACCACATGGCATATACGAAAAAAAGTATACCAGAAGTAAGTAAAATGTCTAGTTATTGACACGCCTTTTTAATAATAGAACAATATGCTAATCTTATGTGTTGTAATCGTACCAATAACATAATAATAACACTAAATATATCTGTAACATTTCCCTTTTCGAGTAACTTTTAGTGCAAGGGAATGCTGATCGACATTAAATTGTTTCACACACACAAAAAGAATCATTAGTCATTTCACGAGAGGAAACACCAGTGTTCAGCTGCTGCTACACATTTTGCAAAACGTGGAACTGGTTTCATCGAGCCACTATTAAGGTCTAAAAGTCAACCACACACTTTTTGTGCACACGTGGACTGTGTGGCCTCACGAAATAGATACGTGTAATTCAAAACAAGGTTGATCTCACGATCCTTGTAACGTCTACATATACAATGTTTTCTAATCTGCACCAGTAAGACAATAAACGCTTACTAAACTGAGAATAAATTCTAAGTAACAAAGCGAACTCGTGATAGTTACGGGCGTTCTACATTTTTCTTTTCTACCTCGTTGGTTACTCTGTCAGCTAGAAACTTTCATTAGATCCACTGTAAGTCAGAGATGGAATGGCGTTCAGCCTGGTCGATTGTCGTCTACGACCATCACAATAATATGATATTACACGTGAACAACGACCGTGGGGATTATTGTCTTTCTATGATAGCGGCTTTCTCTAAGGTATACATATCCTGAAAATGAATGATATTCTAATGAGCCACTGAAGCAAGACGGATAACTTACAGGCACAGCAATTAGTGGAGATAAAACTAACATCTTATGCAACAAGTATTTAGAGAATGAATGCCCCCCCCCAATAAAAACAAACAAGCAACAATAATAAAAAATCCAAATTATACAAAGGAATTCACAATTCAATAAGTATTTAATAATCAGTGACGAGATTGACTGCCAAAAGTTCAGAATGTGTGACTAACTACACAATTTAATATTATCTACGTTTCAATTCAGATGCTTTGCGATTATCTTTTTCCAGTTTTAGTCTTTCAGGTTACTTGACAATCACATTTCGTTCATGTTTTCATCTGTATGATGATACTAATTCTTCCATATTTAATCATGTATACTCACTTAAAACTAACCAACGTGATTATGGTTTTCGTTTGTTTAAAAGACTTCTCACATAAAAGAGTTTCTTGTGCATAGTCGTTCCTAATTTTGAACTTGTATAATAAAGGAAAGCCAACTGGGCAACAGCACCCATCACCAACTCATCCGCTAATGTTGTCTGAGTGAATAGTGGAATTTCACAGTCACTATTATTAGCACACCTATGGCTCCAGAAGTGTGGTGTGCATTTTTGTGGCAATGGGCCACAAACCATGTATCCTAGCTAATCACTAGATCACACCTGTGCCACATGATTATAAAATTGATAAGGTAAATTTTACCTCCTGAGTTCTAGTAAACTTAAAAAACAAAAAGATCACAGAAACCATACAAATCATGGATAAGAAATCTACAAATGATATATTCATTGGTAAAAATATTTTCAGATTGTAATTAATTTTTTCACTGTATGTTTAACAAACACAGTAATCATTTGATATTTTAGATCAAAGGAAGATATGTGACAAAACTGATGAGCCCCAAACCATTTCTTTATAATTGAAAGCTTCATGAAAACAATAACAAAAGTTACATGCAGAATTTATTTCTGATAGCCATTGGGTATCTTTGTGTTAAAGCACCACCAATACTTTATGCCGTCATGTATATACTGAAAAAAATTTGTTTATAATTTATGAAAGTGTTGTTGCTATACAAGTTACAGGAATGTGTAAAAAATGAATTTTAGACTTGCAGCATTTGACCGGTTTTATAGTCTATGATACAAGAAAAAATGTTATGAACGTGATATTATAAATTTGAAAATATGTATGGTATTGCTCCTAATTAATGCCCCCCCCCTCGTATTTTTGTAAAGCTTACCTTGTATGACAGCAATAGTAATCCAACATATAATCCTCTTCTGTGATACACTTTAATAATGTAATTTTGACAGCAATTATTTTGCCAATAGTAATCCAACATATAATCCTCTACTGTAATACACTTTAATTAATAATGTAATTTTGACAGCAATTATTTTGCCAATAGTAATCCAACATATAATCCTCTACTGTAATACACTTTAATT